CACTACTACACACAGAATCATTCATGTTACGCTCAGCTGTCTGTTTTGCTCAATTCTGCGTTCATCGAAGAAAATAGAAGCAATGCGAATACGAACGAAATAAGTGCGACTATCACAAGCGGCTGTTCGTTTCTGATGTTGCATGCGTGTGAGTGAATGCAAAATGAATTGATTTTTCCCATGCTTGGTGGTTGGTTTTGCATTTTGAAGAATGCAATGATCACTGTTTATTAGTTTTTATGTGTTTTTATTGCTTTTTAAAATGTTCCAAAATTAGTGTAAGGTTGTGTTGGTGCTGCCATGGTGATTACATTTGGTGAGCTTGTTCCTATTAAAAACAATCCGTTTGTTTCCTGCCGGGATAACCTCGATCGCGAGTGATCTATTTTGCGGTTTTAGTTAAAACATAAGAAAAGCAATACAATGTCGGTAAGGTGTGCACTCGAATGCAAGAACATAGTTGGCGTTGGTTGTGGCGGAATATACATTAGGATTTATTCCAAGGTACTATTGTAGAAAATCCTAACTGATAGATATTTAGATTTTAGAATTTATGAAAAAAAATTAAGCGCACACTTGATTCAGTTTGGGATAAAGTATAGACTGCTTTCAGGAACGTAATTTCATTTGAATAGCTTGTTTACCGAAGCTTAAACAATCTTCGCGTCGGTCATAGCTTGTTATGATAGCCTGTGCGTAAAGAGTAAATCAAAACATTGAATGTCACTTGAAAGTGGAACTTAATGAAGGCCTAAGTGCTTTTTCGTACCTTTTAGTTTTCGAATTTGAAAGATCGTCTGTTGCAGTGGCTTGCTTATTGAGCAGAAAAATGTGGACACAGTTCATTTAATATTCAATAGATTTATGGTAATATCGCTCGTTTATGGTGTGTTTTGCGAAACTTGTCGTCGTTGTCGGTGCCGGGATTGAATGGTTATATCAACTCTAGTATGAGAGCGGCGCCGGCGGTGTGGTGGTAAGCGAGATTGCCTCTCATCCCAGCAGGCCTGGGTTCAATCCCAGTTGGCGCCGCCGGGATGTTCTGAGACATAACATCTCTGATAACGTCTTCCTTCGGAAGGGAAGTAAAGCTGTTGGTCCCGGTTCATGAGTTAGGGTCAATAGGTAGGGTCCAGGTGTGGATGCTGCCTCCCTGGTGTCGGTAGCATTGGTGCTCAGCACGGAAAATAAGATCGACGGAAAACAAATCAAGGAAAAAAACTCTAGTAACGGTATGATGTGATGTGAGGGGCTCGGTGGCCTTAGAGTGACCGTTTTAGCTTACTGAGCAGAACATCATGAGTCTCATCGAAGGCCTATCCACATTCAAGATTTTTCAATCGTTGTATTTGTCAATATGACTACGTAGTAATAACAGCAACTCGATGATTAAAAAGAAGCTCGTTTGCGTAGTGGCAAACGTTTTTGCTTATTGAGCAGAAGACCGTGGGTTCAATCCCAAGTTTTTTCGCGTTATTTGATCGTTAGGACATCAATTCATTTTATCGTTTACCAAAACGAACCATGCTGCAAACCCAACCCTCTTACCCAAAATCCTCGTGGAAGTGCAGAGGAATCCTCGCCTTCCATCAAAGCGAGTGTCACTTCAACACATTCCTACCCATTCCTTTCTTGACCTGCGTTCGGGCGCGGCCGTCAGTGCTTAGTTTGAGATCACCAGCTTTTACACATTGAGGATGAATTCTAGTACCAAGCATCGTCTATAGGTTCTCTGTGTAATTACTGCTGATCTGGCAATAACAGAGTATTGCGTGGGTGATCAATCATGCTAATGTTCATGCTTATGTTCATGCTCATATTCATGCTCATGTTCATGCTCATGCTAATCTGGTTAAGATGTTATACTATCATAATCATATTATCTTAAAGAAAAATAGTACAGCTCAAACCTTAGTAGGAGTAAAAGGTGGGACCATCATCATAATCATCATAACATTTACAGCGGTCTGATCGGTCAAAACCATGGGATTTTTTCTCAAAATATTAATAATTTGTCCAGAATAGATCAGACACGAACCAATTCATAAATTTTGCACATGTATTCGCTGAACTTTTTCGGCGAAAATGGAGACTGATGTCGGAAAAGTTCATGGTAACTTCTATTGTCATTCATGTCGGTGGTTTTACCAGCTATCAGAGATGCGACAATACACATGAGCTGGGTACCCGAGCAAAGTCTGAGATCAAATTGAAATCTTAATTTGATGTTGAAATTTCGCTGATAATGATTACTCAGGTTGCTGTCGTTTTGGTCGTTTTAACGGTTAAAATATCAAAATTGAGAGCAAACATATCTTCCTGTGACATCACATTGAAAACTATTTCTGCTATCAGTGAGAGCAAACTGAAAAACAAATTTGATATCCATTTTTCCTGTTGATAACATAACAAGTATTCAATTTGAGGTATTGTTAAGGCAATGAAAACAAACCCGCAACAACATATTTTTAAAGAGCAAATGTACAGCAAAATGAAAAAAAAAATTAGTTATCAAAATTCATGATGTTGATATCAAAACTTGATTTCAATTTGCTGTCATTTTGATGCTGGACTTTGCTCGGGTACAGCCTTAATCGTTATGGCCAAAATTGAAAAGCCGTTTCTTCAATGTCAGTACAATCAACGTGAACAGTCATCACATAGGAAGTGACTATGACGATAAAGACTACCCAAGTCAAAATCGTTTTTAAATATCTAGAGCCTCGCATGACCAGGAGAAGGGTATTAGACCCATTATCGGATAACATATTGCACACCAGCTTACGAACGACATCGGCCACAGGCTCATCGATTTCGCTGCCTCCAACAACATGGCCATATGTAGTACCTAACGCCAGCAGAGTCTCCCATATCCACCCCAGTATTAGAAATCAACCACGTTCATCACGGATATCATCAACGTGAGGACCTATCGCGGATATATGGATTCGGACCCCTACCTTGTTATGGTAAAAGTGCGTCAAAGACTTTCCGTTTTTAACAACATTGGGTAACAACATTCACCACGATACAACTCTAGCTACCCGATGTCGCAACATATTACGCTCAAAACATGGAAAAAGTTTTTGACAAAGAACGAATCACTAAATTCTGCTCCTCAAGAACCATTTCAAGGCCACTTACGATATTATTAAACGTGAAGTGTTATGAAAGACTATGAACGAGAACGGTTTTCCTGGTAACCTGACCAGACTCATCAAGACTGCGATGGACGGTGTACAGTGCTGTGCAAAGCCATTGGGTACAGTATCAGACTTGTGTTTAAATCACGCAATGAACTTTGACAAGGCTATGGACTTTCCTGCGTCCTATTCAACATTGCGATAGCAGGTGTTATGAAACGTGCATGTGGGGCACGATCAAGCCAGTTCTGGCTCACATGTTCGAGGCGGGGTTTATTGAAACGTCATATTGAGGAGAAGAATGAATCACTAGCTGTTTCAACTCTATGACAAGCCTAGTATCCAGATAGTTGCTAATGGGGTGTTTACACGTGTGCTGATGTGCTAGCGCTAGCTTACTAAAACTGTACTAAAAAGTAGCCAGCATAATGTAAAGTAAGGGATTCGACATCTACCAGCATGAGATTTCAGGAACAACTGAAATTCGTGCTAGTTGTTTGAGCTGGTTGAGCTAGTGAATCAGCGTATGTGTAAAAATCCATTGAAAGGGTGATTCATTGCCTATTTCACGCACTAAGGAGGGAGAGGGGTGTCAGGAGGAAAAATCTACTTTGGCCTAATCGCCCATTCCCGGCCTATCGAGCACAAAACATCAAATATATAAATGATTTCGGCGTGAACGTGTCAAACAAACGTTTGGTACGATGCTTCTATTTAATAGCTGCAAGACGAAGTGTTGAAGAACGCAAAATAAGATCTCGAAAACAAAAGACGCACTTGAAGTGTACAAAAGGCGCACGCGAATTCACTTTTCTTTCCGTTCGATAGGCCAAAGAGAATCCCAATAGTTTTTTAATAGACCCAGGAAAACCCGTCGGTCAAGTTGAGCCACCAGAAGCAGTTTTGCATTTTCAATAATAACCGAATATTTCGTGACCCCTTATCAGAACAAACGGTTGTAAGAATGCCGAACAACAATCCTGGTTAAACCAAGAAGATCTAGCAAATTGACGATCTAGAAAGTGTGGGACGCTGAAGAAACTGCATAGAAGCAGCTAATAATCGAGTTTTTTGGCGTAACATTGTACAGCAGATGAAGGCTCACCGAAAAACTTTGGACCAGGAATGATAAGGTAAGGTAACACAATGTCAATACAATCAATAGCTTTCGGGTTATGCTTTGATAAATACACACTCTCTTTTAAAATATGAGTGTAGCGTCGAAATGTTCTCTTGATGGTTCTTGAACTTCCATACCGAAGGCATGTGAAAAGTCGCATCTAAATTTGAGATACACACTTATAAAAATTGATGTAAATTTAGGTCCTCTGAGACTGACCTATTCGAGCGTCAATTTTGATATAAAATTGAGTCATAATAGACGTGAAATTCAGCTCAATCAAACGTACTTTCGTACTTTTCAGTCTCGGAGCTCTTAATTTAACATGACATGTTTGTTTACGTCTCATCCTTTATGTCAAAGATACGGAATCCATCACGTGTAATATCAGGTATTTCTAGGTGCTTAGGTTGTTTGCTCAATTGCCTCGTAATTGCTCAAAAGTCATTACAAATCTATATATTCAAGACAAGCAAGTTCTTACGTATAATAATTGAATCCCAAGTTAGTGATTATGAAACTGATGGAGGTCGAATGGTCCACATGGACTTGGCGTATTTAACCACATATCTTATGGGTTTAGAATCAGTATACATAGATTTCCAATGCGTCTTGAAATACAATTTTCAAATTTTCATTAACGCAACTGTCATAATATTTGCAACAAATGTTTTTCTTGTTATAAAAAATGTCCATCGATCTTATAGCTGGATGGATTAGGTATTAAATTTACTTACCTCTCCATTTGCCATTACTATGTCGACAATTCCTTCTTGGATAAAATACATTTTTGCTCCTATTGTTCCCTCCTTAATTACAATATCACCTGAAAAATAAAATATTTGCAGTTATATATAATAATCTAAGAACATATTATGAGCACACTACATTTGAAGATTAAAAATCGGTCACTAAACCGATACTAAAAGCCGTTGTATGAGTTTTAGATCGCCCCAGTTCAATCTAACATTCGTGATATTTTTAGATTTTGAAAATGTTAATATTAAAAATCTTACCAGGTTGAAATACTTCGTATCTTAATTTAGTTACTACATCTGATACAAAATTAGAGTCAGCATTGGCAAAAAAAGGCACTGAAGCAACCAAAGACCTTCAAGAGAGAAATAACAATTAGTATTAAACCAACATCATTTACTGTCCTGAGGAAAATTAAAACATGATGACTTACCTACAGTTGTAGTTTATCACATCTTCTCTTAGTTTCTCACTAAGCTCTCCTAGAATGCATTCCTCATCGAAGAACTTTCCTTGATATCGATGCTCAAAGTATTCGGTTATCCTTTGTCTCATATCCCTCGGTAGTTTCCTGTATGCCATATATTCCTCGACTTGCTTGACCTTTTTCATAGAATGTGTATGTGTTAAATGGTATGTTCAATTTCAAGAAAAAAAAAACAAAAGACAAACCTTTTCTCGATATTGCCGCCTGCTTGAATCTAAACTTTGAATTAGGTTGGTTGCATGCCCCAGGAATAACGCGTAACATGTTGCTCCAGATATCATGGATAGCATCGTTAGCCACATATCGGTAAGTGATTGTGGTGGAAACCTGTAATAATTTAAACATATGAACAAAATATAATTAATTAACAAGGAGGCCAAAGTTCAACTAATTTTTATTTACCTTCCGTAACCTATACAAAGCATATGGGACATTGCTTTGAATAAAGCCCATGAATATTGTTCCAACCAATAGGCCTCCTGTGCAGTTGATAACGAGTCATATGAAAAGATAAAACATATTACGTCGGTAAAATTTTAAGCAAACATAATTGGTTCAAATATTGAAAATCATATCTGAAATATGTTATCGTCATCGTCAATAATCATTAGTAATTTCGTAAATATACTTGCAAATTACAGTGAATGTAAATATGTTAACCAATTTATGAAAGTTCACATATTATTTGATATTATAAGCATGGTTATGCACTTTCCAAATTAAACAAACTGTCAAAAATCAGAGTTAGATAGCTTTTGGATACATACTGTACCTGTAATTCATTTATTGCCACCCAAGAGTTTGATGGAAATCCTTGAAGCATAGGAACTAAAAACTGCAAACATCCGCTCCAGTGTCCTATTAATAACATCATACAGATGAGATTGAATATCCGCATGAAAACGGAAGCCATGTTGAGAAACTGAAAAAGAAATGCATTGTTCATTTAGTAACATTTATTACAAGAAATCCGGTGGATATAAAAACTAAACATTAATACTAGAGTAACTTCAGCATATATTCAAGGTTATTGAAAAACAACATCAAAAGAAATATATATTCTTTTGAAACTTGATTTTCAAGTTCACTAATAGTGCACTATAGTTGAAACCTGGAAATACTGGAATAATATCACTTTATGCATATCTTTGAAAAGGGTCAACATTATATCATGCCAGCGTATTATCATCATTGTAAGTATATTTTTAATCTTGCATGAACATTCGTTGGCAAAACTATGCATGCATCTACTAGGTAAAATAAGAACTCCATTTTAAAATTTACAATTAAGAGTTTGTTTCATATTAATGCTCATTCTAAACAAATAAAAAAAAACCATAAATTCTGCGGAATACACCAAGGCTTTGACACATTGCTTACAAATGTTAGAAAAGCACCAAACCATTGGAAATATTATTTCAGAGAACGCAACGTTACGCATACAGACAATGTGTATTGGGCATAATGGACAATTCCTAGTACTTTTTCCACCTGAGCAGTTCTAGGTCAAATAACGAAAAATAAAGAAATTTTAGATTTTATCGCTCAGAATTCCATGAAACTTCGCATAAATTTTCACTCGTGACAATGAATCAAGTTTGTGTTGGGATTCGGTTATTTGGACTAACGCCTAATTTTTAAAAAGGCGTATTCGGAATTTTTCAATAAACCATAGCACGAAAGTGTTCATCTAATCTAAATGACGCCTGAGACGAAGTTGTGGGAAACTGGATTAACTTCACTGTGGGAAACTGGGATAACAAAAAAAAATACAGTGAAAAAAAAACACAAATTTACGTCAAAAAACTGTTAACACTTCAATTCTGAAAACAGTGCATTTTAAATATTTTCAAACTTACATTTATTTGAAGGTTTAGAAAAAAATAAAAAATTCTGAAATGGACAAAATGGAAACTCCAAAATTGATGTACGCTTTTTATTTTTTTACGAAAATTTTGTGATTTTTTTTTTTTCATTGTTTTTTTAATTGCTCCTAGTGAACAATTATGCGAAGTTTCATTGAATTTGGAGAAGAAAAAATAAAATCGATTCATCGGTTCGCGTGGTACTCCTCAGCTGGAATAATTTTCGCTTTTGCAATTTAATAACATTTTCATACATATAAATTTATCAAGTTATCCTAAAATATATTCAGAATAATAATTCACTGCAGCCATTTGTCACTAACTTGCTGTGCCGTACTTCCTACACCTCTAACAGTATGTCGGATCTTGCTCAGACGGATGTCATCTATACTGACTTATCTGCTGCCTTCGATAAATTGAATCACCGCATACCAATCGCAAAACTGGACATGCTTGGTATCCACGGTTGCCTTTTGCAATGGTTTCAGTCGTACATGGTTCGAAAAAGTAGTGTAAATTTCTGTTCAATATGATGCACATAAAAGGAGCGTCACATCTCATCTAAGTTTACATTATAAATCGTGTACGAGACATTTCATGAAATGTTGCTCATAATTGTGAACAACATTGCTTTCAATTTGCTCGTTTGCATGACATTAAATACAAGTTTACGTGAATGAATGTTTACATTACAATTATAATTCAGTTGTTTTTTGCTGTGTACACACTACTAAAAATTAATGTATATTTCGGTTCCCTGAGACCGACACATGTAAGCGGATCTTTTGACATAAGAATCAGTTGTAATAAACGTGAAAATCAATTCAATCAAACGTTGCCTTCGCCGACTAGCTGATGTTTCGATTTGAGAACACTTAATTTTACATGAAATGTTTGTTTACGTTCTGTTTCGCTATCTTACTGTTGTCATTGGTGATCACCAGTCCCGTATGTTTGCTGTCAAGTCCGCCATACCACAGGGTATGGGACCGCTGGTTTTCCTGATTTACACACTTAGAAATAACTAATTTTACACGTGACGGAATCGATGATCTTTGACATAAAAAATGAGACGTAAACAAACATGTCGTGTAATATTAAGTGCTCCGAGACGGAAAAGTTCATTGCTAGACGAAAAGTACGTTTGATTGAAGTTTATTTCGCGTCTGTTATGACTCAAATTTATTTCTAAATTGACGCTCGTATATGTCACTCTCAGAGCACCTAAATGTACATGCATTTTGCTAAGTGTGTACTTCAACGATGTGAATCTAGTAATTGAGGGACCACGATTAAATTACGCAGATGACCTTAAACTCTCCTTCGCATTCACTCAATTGAAGACTGTTGTTCCTTCAACGTCAATTAAATGCTTTTGGTGATTGGTGAATTCTGAATCATATAAAGGTTAACCCGTCCAAATGCTCGGTTATCTCTTTTTCACACGAGAAACAGACTATTATGTTCAAGTATGTCTTGTTAGGCACTGAAATTGAGCGCGTTAACCAAATTAAGGACCTAGGTGTGATTCTGGATACACTACTCTCTTTCAAGCAGCACATCTCGTATGCCGTCGACAAAGCTTCCAGAATTCAGGATTGCCAAAGAGTTCACGGATATCTACTGCCTTAAATCGTTGTACTGCTCCTTGTCTCGCTCCATATTAGAATACTGCTCGATTGTTTGAATACTCACTACAACAACGGTGTCGAAAGAGTTGAGTCGGTTCAGCAACGGTTCCTGAGATACGCGCTACGTAAGTTGCTGTGGACAGATCCCCTCCGATTGTCTAGCTACGAAAGTCGTTTGTAACTGATCCATCTGGAGCCCCTGTCGGTCCGTAGAGATATAGCAAGGGCATTGCTAATTGCAGATATTTTGCAAGGACGCACCGATGACCCTGTTCTCCTTGAGCAAATTGACATCAATGTTCAACCCAAAGCCCTACGAAATAATTCAAGCTGCGACTGCCCATACAGCGAACTAAAAACGTTTGATACGATACTTTAGTTTATAAGGTACGGCACAAAGTCACTGAGAACGCGTGATATGAAGGTTTGCACCCATTATTCCCAAAAACAAAAGAAGCGCTCCGACCGAATCAATTTTTATCTTCATGCGATAGGCCGAAGTGAATTCATTGGCGTTACAATGGCGTTTCAATGCGTTAGGCCGAGTTTAGAATCCGTAGGCCGAGTTTGGCGTCAAGAAGCAGTGTTAGACTTTTGACAATATCTCAACGATAAGAGCTAAACTGCGCTAGATTAAGAAAGAGTAAGTGTGGGTTGTGCTTAATAGGCCGGAAATGGGGTAGTTAACCCTATTTTTATCTTCTATTTTATTTCTATTTGTATCTTTTCATGCAATAGAGTGTCTGAGCTAGTGTTCGCCCTTGCTCCAGTATTTGGCCCTAGAGGAAAGTATAGCTAATTGTAACATAACATGGATAAATTGGGCTCTGGGCCCCTGTATTTTAATAAAGGAACATGTTTCGCGTAAATAGCCAAAATATCAGTTTATGAAACTGATACAGCTAATCATAGTGTTCGATAATTTGCACTAGCTTTCAGCGGATTGTTCCTTACGTAATCAAAATTGTTCGTGAAAGTGAAGTTGCTTATGTTTAAGCCAATTGCAAAGCATCGTTTGTGTTGGAATAAGAAATCTGTTTACTGTGTTGCCGATGGAATGAAGGTCAAGGCTGATTGAGGATTTCCCCAAATCACCGCTGTGCCCATTGAACTGAGTGCCATCAATGGTAACCGCATCAACATTTCAGGATATAAATGGAGACTACTAATCTTTTAAAGATACAGGTTTTACTGACGCCCACTTTCATCAACATTTGTGGATCAGATCAGTAAACTTTGCCTGTCCACTCTATAATGAAAATTTACCCCATTGAAAACATTGCCACGATCCAGGGGGTTTAATTAACTGGAGGAAAGACAGGTCACCGTGGTTTTTGCCGAAAAGGCATAACTTTGCCGGATAGAGATTCTCGGACTGAAAACTCCTGGTTTGAATGCTTTGGGAATATATTCCAAGTATACGAATAAAGTCTTATTAAATGAGTTTTTTTTTCCTGTTATGATATATATCTAAGAGCTTTTACATTGTTCCTGCCTTGGCAATTCAGTATTTTATTCAGATTTCCTTAACCTGCATGTCAGTATAATAATTGACATCTTTAAAACTAAAAAATAAAATTAGATCTTATCTAAGTATAATCGCGCAAACACTAATCTCACATTTATTTTAGTTGCTGTGTATCATCTTTTAGAAGAACTGTAATAACAAATATTTGGTTTGACACAAATGCAAAATTTATAATGGTTATATTCACATAAAATTGCATTTTAGAGCACAAGTGATTCAAAATTTCGTAAAAATTACAAGCTGCTCCAGAACAGTTGTTTATTTTTTTTTGTTACTTATAAGAAGAGTTTAAAACATGCCCAAGAACGCATTAAGCTAGTAGTCAAATAAAAATTTTGGGACTGAAAATGTGTGTCCGTTTTATAACTCGAAGCGCCTTTTTTCCTCTGTTTGGGACCTAACAACACTGCGAACAGTAATTTTATCTATTGTGGTATAAGCCGTGTCCTTAGTTTAGTGTATGTCGTATTACTCCATCACTATTGAGAAATGATGAAGTATTCGATTTTTTTACAGTTGTCTTTCTTGTATTTACCGCAAGGATCCAACTCTAATTGAAAGGTCCCGCTATTTATACCCTTTGGAGTGTTGAAACACCCTCCAAAGACGCGCCCCTTTGCTAGTAAAATTGAATTCCTAAGTAACTAAACTAACGAATGACACCGATAATGACCATGCATCAGAACCCTAGTCTTATCACTATCAACAAGGCATAAAAAGTAACAAGGACTAAGATGTGTTCCTTTGATTACTGAAAAATCCTGTTCCCCTAGTTTGAAGAAGTAAGGACTAGGAATCGGTGGTAGATCTTACATCCCGTAACGTACCACGAAAAGGTGATCTACCCCCATTACGGGGTTAACAGTCCTTAGGGGCTGTTCATAGACTACGTAGACCG